TAAATTAATTATAGTTATTCGTCATATTGATAAAAAATAATATATAAAATTTGATATGGCTTGTTAAATAAACAGTTTATATTAAATATATGATTGAATAATGTCAAATAGCTTAACAAAAACTAAACCGTATGTAGTGATCTATTACTTACTTTCACTTATTCACAGGCAATGAGCAATAATGTCAATTGTAAACATCATATTGAATTTTCCGTACAAAATTAATAATCGCTGCAATCGTACTTATAACATTTACAGTAACAATTATAGCTTTTTGGTGAGACTACAATAGCAAGCAGTACACTCGTGAACAGAACAGCTACAACTGGTAAAAATGGCTGAAATATATTGGCGTCTATGGGTCCACACTGTCTTTGCGCATGCGTTTGGGCCCAAACTTAAAGATACCCTTGACAGAGTTAATATGGCATCTCGCGATCTCGCCTACTACACTAAGAGTTAGCCACACCAAGAAAGCCATCCCTATTGAAAAAATCCAGCTGGAAATCCAGGCTGGATTTCCACATGGATATCCAGGTAGATTTCCAGGTGGATTCATATGGATTCCATATGGATTTCATATGGATTTCCAGGCTGGATTTCCATATGGATTCCAGATGGATTTTTTTGAAAATCCAGGTGGATTTATCAATCTGGATTTGACGTGAAGTAAAATTTCAAATAATAAATAAATAACGTATTGGTTATCAGTATATAAAATTTTACTAATAGGTTCTATGGAGGATGAATTATAAAAAAAAAAAAAAAAAGTGTCTTGACCAAGGCTTGAACCCGGGATCTTTATATTATCAGACTTGTCCTTTACCACTTTGCTATCGATGACTGTTGGGATGCATTCGTTTTCTTTCCTATATCACGTGCAACTTGAAAGTTGCGAATAAGCCATATTTCTACTTATTGTATTGTTCATCTCTGATTATATGCATGAGTTTCAAATTAAGGACGTCGTCTGGTCCATTTCAAATAATGACAGAATTTACTGAAACTCAAACTGATCATCGTTTGAAGTCTTCTGTACTCACACCAGTTTTTTTGGGACATATAGTATAGTACTACATAAAGAGAAATATGATGTTTAACATGTGCTCTTATGAGACGGCATCGAAATTATGCGTAAAAAAATAAGTGCACTTATGGGGCAGTGTCAAAACTATAAGAAAAAAATGTAAGCTGCTAACGCCGAGACAGCGATGATGACTTAAGAGAGCCTTCTTATAATAAGGAAAAAAAAGTAAAAATAATGAGCGTTAGACTCGCAGGGTACTTCGGTTGTGGCTCTCGTGGTTTACCTGTCTGAGTTGTAGCGCTGTTACAGATTACGGTTTTCTTTCTAAAGGACAAAAATTAAAATAATAAGCCTAAAACTCGCAGGGTATAGGGTTAGAAAAGAAAAGCACTAATCTGAAACAACGCTACAACTAAGATAGGTCAAAATCGAGAGCCAAAATCCAAGTACCCTGAACCCTGCAAGTTTTACGCTACATATTTTTTCTCACGCTCCCGGTGAAATATAAAATTTTACGCTCGATATTCTTACACGCATTTTCTATTAAGAAAAAAAAAATAGAGCCGACGCTACACCTACGCCGGCTATTTCCGGGAGCCGATACCAAACTACCCTGGACCCGCCGAGTTTTACGCTCATAATTTTCTATTTTTTCCTGTAGAAAAAAAAACATTAATTTGAAACAACGCAACGACTCAGAGAGGTAAACCACGACAGTCATAACCCAAAAATCTTGTACCCTGCGAGTTTTACGCTCATGATTTTTACTTTTTTCTTAAAAAAAAATACTAATCTAAAACACCGCTGTAATTTAGACATGCAAACCACGAGAGCCAAAATCCAAGAACCCTGTACCCTGCGAGTTTGGTGCTCATATTTTTTTTATATTATACCTAATATTTCGTAAGTATATGTTATATTTTCTGTAGGTATTTCTATGAAAGCAAATAATTTTTGAATAAATAGAGCTAAATTTCTTAAAATTTTGTTGTTGATCTTGATCAACAATTAAAAGCCGAGATCAAATTCTTCAGAGTGAACAAAATTTGTTCAAGAAGAAAGAAAAACTCGTGTAAAAGTCTGGAGCATAAAACTCGGCGGGTCCAGGGTGGTTTGGTTTCGGCTCCCGGAAATAGCCGGCGTAGGTGTAGCGTCGGCTCTATTTTTTTTTTCTCAATGGAAAATGCGTGTAAGAATATCGAGCGTAAAATTTAATTTTTCACCGGGAGCGTGAGAAAAAATATGTAGCGTAAAACTTGCAGGGTTCAGGGTACTTGGATTTTGGCTCTTGAGTTTGACCTCTCTCTGTTGTAGCGTTATTTCGGATTAGTGTTTTTCTTTTCTAACCCTATACACTGCGAGTTTTAGGCTCATTATTTTAATTTTTTTCCTTTGGAAAGAAAACCGTAATCTGTAACAGCTCTACAACTCTGACAGGTAAACCACGAGAGCCTGCGAGAACCGAAGTACCCTGCGAGTCTAACGCTCATTATTTTTACTTTTTTTTCCTTATTTTAAGAAGGCTCTCTTAAGTCATCATCGCAGTCTCGGTGTTAGCAGCTTACCTTTTTTTCTTATAGTTTTGACGCTGCCCCATAAGTGCACTTATTTTTTTACGCATAATTTCGATGCCGTCTCATAAGAGCATATGTTAAACATCATATTTCTCTTTATGTAGTACTATACTATATGTCCCAAAAAACTGGTGTGAGTACAGAAGACTTCAAACTATGATCATTTTGAGTTTCAGTAAATTCTGTCATTATATGAAATGGACCAGACGACGTCCTTAATTTGAAACTCATGCAAATAATCAGAGATGAACAATACAATGAGTAGAAATATGGCTTATTCGCAACTTTTAAGTTGCACGTGATATAGGAAAGAAAGAGAATGCATCCCTACAGTCATCGATAGCAAAGTGGTAAAGGACAAGTCTGATAATATAAAGATCCCAGGTTCGAGCCTTGGTCAAGACACTTTTTTTTTTGTTGTTTTTTTTATAATTCATCCTCCATAGAATCTATTAGTAGAATTTTATACACTGATAACCAATACGTTATTTATTCATTTTTTGAAATTGTACTTCACGTCAAATCCACATTGATAAATCCACTTGGATTTCCAAAAAAATCCATCTGGAATCCATATGGAAATCTAGCTTGGAAATCCATATGAAATCCATATGGAATCCATATGAATCCACCTGGAAATCCACCTGGATATCCATATGGAAATCCAGGCTGGATTTCCAGCTGGATTTTTTCAATAGGGATTACTGTATCTTTACGTACATGATATTAAACGTACGTGTATTAATAAACTTTAAGGTATTTCTAAATTATAAATAAGATACATTATAACATAAAAAAATTATTTATAACAGAAGGAAAAAGATTTTTTAATTACGAAATACTTATAAAAATTTCAATAACAAATAATTATTTATTGTACCAATTGTTTACGCGAAAGGTAATATTTTGTCGAGTTACCCTAAGTTAAAAAAAATTATAAAAATCCATGCAGTAGTTACGGAAAAAATGGAAAAATTTCGCTCGGTTTCAATTTGAAGACGTGCTAACACTTTTTCTATAACTTGGTCGCAGGCTCCGGTGTCTCTCTCCCCACCATCGCGCCTTGCAGTCTGGTCCAGAGACGTGATCTCGCGTTGAACGGTAAATTAAAGGATAATGTAATGTTATTGATGGCATGAATTTTGTTCCGTAACTTTAACTTTCGCTTGAAACCTTCCCGAAAACCGCGTTTTGATAAGGTTATATTCAAACGTGTGGAATTTTTTTGTAAAAGAAATCCTATCTTCGCTCCTTCTACGCTTAGCAAGGTCATTTTTTTTTGTGAAGTTGACAAAAAATTCTAGCTATCCAAAAATATTCATCAATAACAATAACCTCGCTTACAACAAAAGATATTCCTCTTATTTATACGGTTATTTTTAGCATGTCCATCTGAGCTGTTTTTAAGTAATTTAAGATTGGAAAATGATCACGCACGTAAGCTTGAGTTAAACTAGAACGTCGAACGAAGAGAATGAGCCCTTGCTGATAGCTGTACGATACCCCCAATCGCAAGAAATTAGTTTTTAATTAAACTCCTTTTTTAATAATAATAGCTTTTGAACAAATAATTTTCAATATTTTTCTTTGAAATTTGGACCGTGATTTCATCTTCACAAAATGCTCGATTTAGGCTGTGTTTGAAATTTATATTTGACCAATTGTCAAACATATTAGTTAATTAAGAAATAGCTTATTTTAACAGTTTTTTTCAATAATTTAAACGCTATTTGTCCGATTTTTACGGTCGATCTCTCTTTTTGTAATGATTCTCAGCGCCGAAAAAGGTTATAAATTCCAATGCTTTACATCTAAAAGTTCAACTTCAAAAACGGGATAAACGTTTTCAGCACCTATTTTTTGCTAATTTGTTAACAATTGCTTACGATACCAATTACGTTATTCAAATTTCTATATAAAAAATAATGTACTTTTTAAATATATTATAATAGGGCAAATTTCTTGTGATAGTAAGCGATTCTTTTAACCTTTTAAGGTCGGGGATTTTTACGTTAAAATTTGACTTTTTTTTGCACAATATTTGTGCATAAAATGAAAGAATATGTCACGTGGAGTGCCTGACAAAATTGGTGGTCGATATATCGACCAGTCCCGTCCTTAAAAGGTTAAGATCTTAGGATTAAATATTGATATTTAGGCAAGATATTATCGTTTGAAGTTTGGATAAAAAAATACTTTAATATTTTTTTATTGGAAAACGTAATGCGAGCAAATTATTCGGCTATCATAGCTGAACCGAGCAAATTCGATTCTCTTGAAAATTATTTTTCTTTTTTATTTTGACTATTTTCTTGGGCTAATGTAGAGTCGGTCAACGCTGGTGCTTGGCCTGCTTCAGTATACACTCCATGTTTTCATGCTCGTTAGTATCGTAAATAGTTCAGCTTTGATCTAAACAGTGTTGACTAAGAATGTTGTTTAATTGAATTACTTGTTATTGTAGTATCAGATATTAAACTATAGAATGATTAAAGTCAAAGTCATCTTTGATATTCATTTTTAAAAAATATTGCAAGGACGTTACCGAATTTATTGATATTTCTAAGTGTAGTTTAAGGTACAATGAAAGATACAACCAACGAATATAGCGTTGAGACAACTATGAACTACAAATGGAAGAAACTAGCAGCAGTGCAGGCAGCTGTATTATTAGGCGTTTTCTGTCAGTTTTTTGGATTTGGGTCTGTGGCATGTAATAGGCCACCAGGCGCTCACGCAGGTCACGCGTATTTTGAACAGCCCTGCTGTGGAAGAAGCCATCTCAGACATCACAAAGGTTGGTTTGTTTATGATGATGTGAACATTGCAATATATTTTAATTATTATTTGTCATTCACCTTACAATTAAAATTATGAAGTACCTTAATTTAATTGTTTATACGTTAATACTACAAATAGCAAATTTTTGAAATATTTCATAAAAGGATCAAAGATATTTGCTAATTACCGTTTTTAAATTTTCTTTCGAATATGTTATTCATAAAAGTAGAAGAAACATTTACATTCCTCAATATTAATAAGATTTGTACTACTTTCCAGTAAATATGACTTTGAGTTATAAAGTAAAGATTAAATGTACGTATTTATAATCATTTTGCTGGATATTTTAACAAATGAGAAAACAGGAGAGTAATAGATTATCTAGATTGACAGCTTTATGTATATAAATAAAAGTTTTTGTTTTCTATACAGTATTTTGAATATCTCTTGACAAATAGAACATTATGTTTGTTTATTCTAAAAATAGTTATTGCAGATCTAGAATTTTTTATTTTTCAAACTAATCAGGAAGCAAATATTCTCTTAAAAAATCACATAAGATCATCTAACTAATTTATTTATTTTTTCACTATGAGTTTTCCTTTTATTCATATTTCCTATATAATGTTCAAAATAGCACTATTTTGTTTGATATCTATATATTACATATTTTCGTTAATATTGAAACTCTAATTATCTATTGAACACATACATACACACACACATGATAAGGGCTCCACTGTTTTTATCAAAGCAATACTTTTTAATATGTCTATCTTAATTTATTTTAGTACAATCCATAGCCTTGACAATGCAACAAGCATTTTGGTTTTCTTTTTTTTTTATTCAAATAATTAAAAAAATTATATTTATTATAATTATATATTGAATAGTTATGAAGTTTCGGGTATGGTTTAATTACATACACTTGAAGTTTCCAATGTTCGAATTGAATGAAAATATAAAAAATAGAAATATAAATATATAGTAATAATTATCACTTCTAGAGAACGCTATAGTGGCGTATGTCATGTAACTAAGTTGATATATCGATTACACCCCTTACAATTACCCTTACAGTTGTCCATACATACCATGCTACACATACTTATAAAATCACTAGTAGTACTTTTTTATTAGACAAGGATTAATTAATGAGAGGGACTGTTTCATAAAGTATATTAATATAGAAACGTGCGAAAAAAGTTTAACCGATAATCAACCCTTAGTCTCACCCCCACAGCCATCTATTTAGTAAAAATCCAAAAATTTAGTTATTTTATGATGGATTGTTATTAGACAAAATTATTAACTAAAAGTCGTGTATATATAAAGGATATCGATATATAGATGTGCGAAAAAAGTTTAAGCGATCGTCCACCCTTAGTTTCATCTCCATGGCCTTATATACAATGGAAACTCGTGAAATTTAGAAGTTATTTCATTCTGGTTTGTTATTAGACAAATATTTTTAATTAAAAGCGGTATGACTATTAAAGATGTCGATACATAGATGTGCGAAAAAAGATTGAGCGAAAAAAGTTTTAACTTGTAAATTTTACACATTGACATTGTATATAAGGCCGTGGGGGTGAAACTAAGAGTGGACGATCGCTTAAACTTTTTTCGCACATCTATATATGGATGTACTTAATATTCATACCGCTTTTAATTAAAAATATTTATTTAATAACAAACTAGAATGAAATAACTTCTAAATTTCACGAATTAGATAAAGCGCTTGATGAACTAGCAGAATATGTAAGAGTATTTTAGAGGTTTTAGTTGTAGTATTCGGTATTTTTTTTTTTGTCGAATGTTTGTTTTGTGTCATATTCAACAATTGAAATTAGATTTGAACTATTATTTCACAAGTTCATATTTTTTGATAGTCGAGTTCAAGATAGTTTTAAAGTAAAGTATGTGACAAAAAGAGGAACCTTCTTAATTACATCCCCCGAACACCCCTCGTCACCGTACGCATAAATCATACAATTGGCCCAATAAGTTTTAGACTCCGCAGTATTATTTGGTGAAAATTTTGAATTGAACGATTGTTTTCTCAACGCTACTGCCAGGATGATGATACGAAACAATTTTTATTCATTGAGTCACCTTCAAATTACCCCAACGGAGCACTCATCATAAACTATAACAAATAAAATTTTTTAATCGTATATTTTTATATGGCAAACATTTTTATATAAAAAACAGTTTATATTAAAGAAATCGGTAGTGAAAATAATTTAAAAAATGTTCACCTTCCGGAAAACCTTACAACTACCCAACCCCTATTAAGAACAGCACATTGTCAATACTCTGCAAGAACCAAACGTGAGATTTCAGTTTGGATAGAATATTAGGCAAAACATTTCGACTAAATAATTGATTTTGAAAATATAAAACGTGCAAGATACAAAGAATAAATTTCGCTTGTCGGAACGCTCTTCATCCACTCCTAATGAGACTCATTACATCAACACTTCCTGGGCGTTGATTTCATGTTTTACTTTGCCGTAGCTAATTAGGCAAAAATCTTGAGTTCATTAACAGTTAACATTAACAGTATTATTGAAAAGTCTTCAATGATCTCTTAAAAAAGATATTACTAATCCAAACATTCATCGTCTTCACCTTGCGTGCACGTTTTATTCAATGTTATTTATAGTATGAATCAATTAAATTTAATATACAGGGTGACCCATTTTAATCTATGGACCCGAATTACTTCTAAACCAATGCAAAAAAATGTTTCAGACAAAAGTTGGTCAAGACAAAGGGGGCCATTTGACGGTACCATTAGTTTTGACCTTGAAGTTAATTTTGAAGGTCATTTCAAGGTCAAGATGGTTTTTTCAAATGGGAACCCCTATTTTTGAGTGCGGGTTTGGGAAGAGCGGAAAATTTTAAATCAAAATTGTCTTATGCAAAAATTGTTTTTGTGACCTTGGAAAGGTAAAAAATGAAGGTCAAATGTCTGAAAAAACTATTATTCGTACTTTTTCTAAAATGACGTGGTTTTCTTGGTAATATTACCGTTCATAATGCTTGTGAAAGATCAATAAATTCTAAGGGTGTTAATTACTTTGATTAGCTTGACCTTGGCATCAATTTTCAAGGTTATTTGAAGGTCATAACGCATTTTTTGATTGGTAAACCATATTTTTGACTGCAGTCCCTGTTTTATGATATTAGGTCCTAAAAGAATGTTACTTCTTACATGATGATAGAGATTTCTTAGTTTTTTAACCTAATCTTAAGAAGGTCATATCAAGGTCAGTTTAGGAATCTTTGTTTGATTGCTGATTCTTCTTCAGACATGAGAGACAAGGAACTCACGATAATCTAGCACCCGAAAGGAAACAGAACTTACTACGTCCACGTCGTTGTTTCCGGGTAACGCTAAAAGTAAGATAAAAGAACTTTTGTTTTGCTTTTCTTGTATTACAAAAAGCCACTCATGTCTGAAGAAGAATCAGCAATCAAACAAAGGTTCCTAAATTTACCTTGATATGATCTTCTTAAAGTTAGGTTAAAAAACTAAGAAATCTCTGTCATCATGTAAGAAGTTACATTGTTTTAGGACCTAATATCATAAAACAGGGACTGCAGTCAAAAATATGGTTTACCAATAAAAAATGCGTTATAACCTTCAAATAACCTTGAAAATTGATGCCAAGGTCAAGCTAATCAAAGTAATTAACACCCTTAGAATTTATTGATCTTTCACAAGCATTATGGACGGTAATATTACCAAGAAAACCACGTCATTTTAGAAAAAGTACGAATAATCGTTTTTTCAGACATTTGACCTTCATTTTTGACCTTCCCAAGGTCACAAAAACAATTTTTGCATAAGACAATTTTGATTTAAAATTTTCCGCTCTTCCCAAACCCGCACTCAAAAATAGGGGTTCCCATTTGAAAAAACCATCTTGACCTTGAAATGACCTTCAAAATTAACTTCAAGGTCAAAACTAATGGTACCGTCAAATGGCCCCCTTTGTTCTGACCAACTTTTGTCTGAAACATTTTTTGCAGATGTCGTGGTTTAGAATCAATTCGGGTCCATAGATTAAAATGGGTCACCCTGTATATTTCTTATATATGATACTTGAATAATAGGTTTTTTAGTTGATTCGTCAAGCTTTGACCAATTGGCTTCTTTTTTGAACACTTGCGTTCTACTAGGGTATGTATATACGAGGTCTGTCCGGAAAGTATCGGGCCTACGTTTATATCTTCGCGCCATAGTGTTCGAGCGACCTCTACCGGACAGAAACGTCAACAGTAAAGTCTCACGAATCTATTGGTTACTTACTGACATCTGCCGGACGTATAGTTCATGCGCAGCGTGTCCTTGTTTACAGTGCCTTTTTCGCGTTCGTCGGATTTTGATATTGTCAAAAATGACTGAAAAACAAGATCAACGAATTTGCATCCAATTTTGCTTTTAACTCGGAAAAACGAGTTCGGAAACTATTGAAATGATGCAAAAGCCCTTCGGAAGTGAGTGTATGAGCAAAACACGAATAAAAGAGTGGTATAAACGGTTCAAGGATGGTCGCACTTTTGTCGATAATGATTCTCGTTCCGGCCAAACTTCAACGACAAAAACCGCAGATAATATTGAGCGGGTATGACTTGCAATCGAACAATATCGTCGTATGACTGTGCGAGAACTAGAAGAAGACCTTGGGATACCAAAAACTATCATTTCAGAAATTTTAACCGAAAATTTAGGAATGAAACACGTGTGTGCGGAATTCATCCCAAAATTGCTCACAGCAGAGCAGAAGAACATTCGCTTAGAAATCGCTCTGGACAATCTGGAAATGGTCAATAATGGTGATAATGTGCTTAGAAAAGTTATTACAGATGATGAATCAGGGGTTTATGGTCATGATCCTGAAACAAAACAACAATCTTCACAGTGGAAGCATTCTGAATCACCAAGACCAAAAAAAGCTCGTCAAAGTCGGAGCAATGTTAAGTCAATGTTGATTGTTTTTTTCG